CAGGATGTGGGTGGGATCACTTTCTAGTAATTTATCGCTTATTTAATTCCAATAGATTCCGCTTAGGTGTATAGGGTCATAGTTTTCAACACGTTAGCAGTTGCTGTCGTATTTCTTTACGTGATGTGGTTACTGGTGCAATGCCCAAGCCGTTTGGAAACCGAGTTGTTGTTCTTCAAGACTGGTTGCCAAACAAAGAGCTAACTCTGTCCTACTATTTAATCCATAGCTCAGGGGGAGAGATGTGATGGATTCATACTTCTTCCAAGGGCATTTGCAATAAAGTGAACGGAACGAACTCGACCGAAAATCAACGAATGTAACAAATTCGAACTCAGCACTGATTTTATACATGAATAAATATTTAAGATTGACGTAGTAAATAATTAAATTATATGTGTATATATATATATATATATATATATATATATATATTACTTCAAACGTTATCATAGTGGATACACATAATTAAAATAGACACCCCATCTTTATTTTTTGGTTTAAACAGTACGTATTAGATCTATCAGCGCATTCGAGAAATCTTAAAGGAAATATGCTCTCCAGCAGGGAGCAAACTTGCGTCCCTCTTTGTAAGAGAAACCATTGTCTGGTCCGATGTGATTTACTGCTCGGATACGGAGAACGTCACAGTCCAGCAAAGGCCCTGTTATCCTTTTTTTTTTAAGGAAAGCACACTCCTTCATTCAGAGTATATTTCTCAAAACCCATATCTGCACACCTTATATATATATATATATATATATATATATATATATATTCATTAAAAAATATTTTAAAAGGAATATATATATATATATATATATATATATATATATATAGCATATATTCATTGAAACATGATTAATGGAATAATATACAGTGTAACCCGGGTATAAGAGAGTTGTCGGGGCCGGAGAAGAAGTCTCTTATATCCGGGTTTGGTCTATTTTGTTTAGGTGAGTATGGGAACACTTTGGGACCAGATAAAATCTCTCTTATATCCGGGTTACACTATATATATATATATATATAAAGCATATCTTCATTGAAACATGTTTAATGGAATAATATAGATATGATTTGTCTATTTATTTTCATACTGACCCTTTTCAGCTGTTTAATCATTTTCTTGATAAGATAAAATTCATCAAAGAAGGTGCCGAAGTTTGTTTTTTTTTAACCCAAACACTTTCGACCTTTCTAAGGGCTAAATTACAAAGACAAGATTATTGTAACTGCGATTAAATCTGCATTCTGTTGTCATAGTGATTTTTAAAAACAAACGAACGCGCACTATTAAAGTTATTTTCAGATTTTATTATGCAAATTAATATGTTCAGAATAAAATTGATAGTAAATTTCAAATGTCTGTAAAATTTTCAGGAAGATATATTTGAGAAATAATTCTAGCGAGTTTCATTTTATCATATTCATCCTGATTAAAAATATTAATAATGTCTTGTTTTGAAAGTGTCAAGTTTTATTCTTCAAACACACAAGCGTAGCATAAATTGTTATTCATAAACCAATTCAAAAGATATTAACTATAGGAACATATATTTGATTGACATATCATCCCAGATAGCATTATTATCTCATGATTGTACTTCTTAATATGGGTTTCTTGACATTTTGTAAGTTTCATCTCTCATATATTGATTATATTACAATCATTTTTTTCTACTGCTTCTAGTTTTGACTTAGAACATTTTTATTGTTCCTCCCCCAATATTATTTCCTAATCAGCTATACATCATAATGGTGGACCAAAATTTTTCTATTGGGTCAATATCTGGAGTATTTGGGGCCGTTCCATTAATTCGCTGCCTTCGAAATATTTTTGGTAAAGTGGGCAATAGTCACCTTTGCAGAATATGAAAGAGCAATATCATACTCGTGTATAAGACGACTTCATGTATAGTTTGACCTCTGAAGAAAAAAAACCTGTGTATAGGTGCAACCACGCATTTTTTTTTGCGTAAAAATTGATAATAAAACTCGACTATATATGGTACTCATTATTTTAAAACTTTCCAGTTGTGATCTGTAACACTCAAAAATTTATTGTCCTAGTTATTCTTTATTTTTATCATGATACCATGATCAACTTACTGTTTGTATTACTATCCAAGATATATTGTGAACAAACTTTCATTTGCATGAGAAAATATTGCATTACCATGTGTAAATCCTAGTAAAAAAATTAGATATTAACAAAAAAAAAATCATATATTAATTTTATAAGTATACGTATATCCTGAAATTTTTGAACTTATTTTGTTCATACCATTTTATGAGGAAAATCTTTGATTCGCAGGGCTCGAACCTGCGTCCTCCTTTATATTCGAAATAACCGTTTGTTCCGGCGTGTATTTGAGCAGTCGGTCACAGAGACCGTATAGCCAAGCAAGGTTCTATATCTGTTTTAATAAAAGCAAATTTCTTCGTTCATATGTTTTCTCGGAAAAAACCCTTATCAGCTCGGATCCGACATATAAACGAAGAAATTTCTAAAGAGTTTATGAACTTTTTAATCTGAGATTTTTATTACTTTAAACGTTATTTCTAGTTGACACCCCTTATTTTAAATAGACACCCTGTTTTTATTTTAAACAGTGTGTATTACATCTATCGACATGCGCACCCGATAAATCTTAATAAAGAAATACGGAGGGGTTTGGTCCCTCTTTGTAGGAGAAACCACCTTTTGCTCTGTGTTTATGCGAGCGCGCGCAAGTGTAGGAGATGAGGTGAGAAGTTCTTAGCCTAACTAAAGAGATAAAAAGTGTAATATGTATGGTCAGAGCCGTGAACATTTCAGCATCCCTTCGTAGATACAAGATCGGAATAAAATCTATTTTATGCAAAGTCTAACAAGGGTATTCGTCTCTGCTCCCGCTTCGGCTTTGAATTACGCCAGTTTTATTGTTTTTCATATCGTCAAGAAATATCGTTTTTTATTGTAAGTATAAATTCACTTAATTAATGATAACTTTAAAAAGTAACTTGTTACTTTAATCAGACCAGATCATTATGGTCACAAAATGCATAACTCATTAGGTTTATTTGTGTTGAAGGTGTACAATAATAATAGGAATCTCTAGGAGTCCATCACTCTTCAGACATTTTTATTTAAATAAAGAATTATCATTCTACTAAACTGGTTGTCACACAAAGCTAGATAACCAAATCTGCTCTACTATTTAACCCATAGCTGGGACGATAAAGCATGACATACTTTTCGAGTCGCTATCAGTTACATTATTCACACATCTAGTATACGCTTATTAGTTGACTTTCATTATACATATAAATATATATATGCACACACACTGATCTTTCCTTCATAATATATATGTAAACGGAAATAAAATTTTATAGTCAGTTGGAAATCTACCAAATATGTGACTTTTGTATACTCAATATACTATCTAAACTGAATCTGAGGGAGGTGACTGAGAATACAAACACACACACACACATATATATATATATAATCTAAATGAAATAATAATAATAAAAAAACGAAAGAATATTAATCTACAACCCAGTGTGTCTGAAGATTTTAATTTTTTAATATTTTTTTATTGTTGAATATATATATATATATATTTGGCTGGATTCATGTGAGTTTGTTTATGTTAGCTCTATCTCTGATATTGAGCACTTTCTAATAAGTACCGCGCATATAATATATAAATAATTATATATATATATATATTTATATGCACACACTTTTCACACACACACACACATATATATATATATAATCAAGAACAATTTTCAAGAGAAAGAAGGAATTTAGTCTATTACCTGTATTTAGTCTATTACACAGCTTGGACGTAAGATTACTTTTTCATTGTATCAATCCGTCCCACATCAAAAATTATATAAATCTCACCCACCCCCGACAAAAATGACTTTACTCCAATTTTATGTTTTAATTTTCTTCGATTTTTTGTCTTCTTCTGTTCGACGTTATTTTTATTTTATTTTTATTTCGATTACATTGGAGAAAGCTCAAAGAATTAAATAAATTTTTATGAAACCAAAAGGGATTTTTCTTTTTTTACAAAACTGTGCATTAGTTGCTCACCGTAACGAGACTGACCACAATTTTGATGCCACTTAAATTAAAAGTGAAAAAAAATTTGCTAAGACAAATGTGTTTAGAAAGTGCTTTTGTCGCTGGATCATTCACACTAAATTTGCGTCCAGATACTTTAAATTTTTTACCTTTCTTGGTACATCTCATCACAGTGTGGGATATTTAATAACAAACTAATGGAAACAAACAAAAAGAAAAATAAACTAAATGGAATTGGTTCTATGATAAAATCTTTACATCTCTCTTTCGTTTGTGCGCATGTGTAGACATGCGCACAAACGTAAACATTGACTTAGTCCAATGAAGTCCTAAAGGACGAAAACGCGTCATTATATATATATATATATATATATATATATATATATATATATATATATATAATATATATAAAGAATATATTACTTATTCTTCATACTTAATGATGCACGCGAACACACAATTTTCATACTGGTTTCCTTTGTTTAAAAACTTTTCTTTTTCATTTTTTGCAGAGGAGGGTCCTGGTTGCGAAAATGTTCCGGGTATTGGCGGTGTAGGGATAGTTGGGCGCGGTCCCAGCTCTACACCCCCCGGGGTGTGCAGCAACAGCAACAGCAGCAACAGTAGCAGTAACAACCCCAACACTAACACAAGCATCAACACCACCAGCAACACTAACAACAGCGTGGGAGGAGGAGGGGGTGGCAGTGCCGGTGGCGGCGGCGGAGGAGGAGGCCTTGGTATCGGTGGCAGCGGAGGGACGGAGATCGCGATCAAAGCTGAATCTGTAATAGGTAGCGCCGAGGGCGGAGGAGGTGGTGGAGGAGGAGGTGGCGGCGGCGGAGACGACGACGACGACGACGACGAAGGAGGTATGGACTGCTTCAAGGATGAAGAATGTGGCCCATTGAATATGAGCAACAAGTTGGGCTGTGTCGGGGTGGGAGTAGGCGTTGGCTCGGGCGGAGTAGGAGGACCCCAACAGCAGCAGCAACAACAACTCAGAGGAAATGGTACAACAAATGCGGGAGGAGTAGTAGTTGGAGGAGGAGGCGGAGGTGTATTCGGCGCGGGTGGAGGCTCGATGTGTGGTGCTACCGGTGGAGGTGGGATCCTTGTTGGAGACGAAACTGTGAAGCCGTCTGGGATTAATGAAAGAAAACGCAGAGCCAGTGATGAGATCAGCTTGGACGTAAGATTACTTTTTCATTATATCAATCCCTCCCACATCAAAAATTATATAAATCTCTCCCACCCACCCCCACAGAAAAGACAAAATGACTTTACTTCAGTTTTATGTTTTTATTTTCTTCGATTTTTCGTCATCTTTTCGATGTTATCTTTATTTTATTTTTTATTTCACCATATTACTTTCACGTCAAAAAGATGTAGCCATGTGTGGAAACGCGCATGCGTGTATATACCGAATGACAGTTTGAGCGGGAAATAGTAAACTGTTTGTGTACCTTTCTCAGTCAAACCACTTTCATATTTTATTTTAGTTTTGGATGTTTATAAAAAAAAAAGTTATGTCGTATACTTTATAACGTTAACTACTGTTGGTAAACGAATAATTTTTCTCTCATTACATGGAATCTACTTACTTTTTAGGTACATATTTAAATTCTTTTCTTTGTCAACTTTAAAACAAAAGTAAAATAATAGTAATGCTCACTAAACTTGTGCACCTATACAGGGCCGGTGCAAAGGTCTCATGCAACTTCCAAATCTATAATAAGAGTTCCCTCAATCTAACTACATCATACTTTTCATAAGGTATTAGTCATATAAAATACTAATATTATTATAACCTAATTATGTACAATAATGGCTCATATGCAATACAGGTATACAGAACAATAAAGGCAATAAATACAATGTATCTAAATAAAAGTTAGCGACATATCAGAATGACATAAAAATTAGCAAATACATTTCCAGGCTTAATTGTCAGTTATACTTAGTTTAATTTGTAAAGTATATATATATATATATATATATATATATATATATATATATATATATATGTGTGTGAAAAAGGAAAGCAAATGTTGATATGATAACGAAGCGCACGAAGCACGCCCAAACCGCCCAACCAAACCCCCACCCCCCCAAAAAATTCAGGCTATTCAGTATTTATCTCGGTTTGTTGAATATCTACCACGCTCGGTTTGTGGACTGTCACTCATGGTTTTTTGATTATCTATCAATCACGCTTGGTTTATTCTCTTTTTCTCTCTCTCACGGTTCGTTCTCTTTCTCTCTCCCTCTCTCACTGTTTGTTCTCTCTCTCTCTCTCTCTCTCTCTCTCTCTCTCTCGGTTTGTTCTTTTTATCTCTCTCTCTCTCGGTTTGTTCTTTTTATCTCTCTCTCTCGGTTTGTTCTTTTTATCTCTCTCTCTCTCTCTCGGTTTGTTCTTTTTATCTCTCTCTCTCTCTCTCGGTTTGTTCTTTTTATCTCTCTCTCTCTCTCTGTTTTGTTCTTTTTATCTCTCTCTCTCTCTCTCGGTTTGTTCTTTTTATCTCTCTCTCTCTCGGTTTGTTCTTTTTATCTCTCTCTCTCTCGGTTTGTTCTTTTTCTCTCTCTCATGGTTTGTTCTTTCTCTCTCTCGGTTTATCTCTCACGGTTCACTATTTCCCTCTCACAGGGTTTACTATCTCTCTCATGGTTTGTTCCCTCTCTCTCTATCTCAGTTTGTTCACTCTCTCTCTCTCTCTATCTCAGTTTGTTCACTCTCTCTCTATCTCTATCTCAGTTTGTTCACTCTCTATCTCTCTCTATCTCAGTTTGTTCACTCTCTCTCTCTATCTCAGTTTGTTCACTCTCTCTCTCTCAGTTTGTTCACTCTCTCTCTCTCAGTTTGTTCACTCTCTCTCTCTCAGTTTGTTCACTCTCTCTCTCTCAGTTTGTTCACTCTCTCTCTCTCAGTTCACTCTCTCTCTCTCTCAGTTCACTCTCTCTCTCTCTCAGTTCACTCTCTCTCTATCTCTCTGTTTGTCCTCTCTCTCTCTATCTCTCTGTTTGTCCTCTCTCTCTCTATCTCAGTTTGTCCTCTCTCTCTATCTCAGTTTGTCCTCTCTCTCTCTATCTCAGTTTGTCCTCTCTCTCTCTCCCTCTGTGTCTATCTATATCAGTTTGTTCTCTCTCTCTCTCTCTGTCTATCCATCTTAATTTGTCCTCTCTATCTATCCATCTATCTATCTCAATTTGTCCTCTCTCTCTCAGTTTGTTCTCTCTCTCTCTCTCTCTCTCTCTCTCTCTCTCTCTATATATATATATATATATATATATATATATATATATATGTATCTCAGTTTGTCTTCTCTGTTTACCTTTCTCAGTTTGTTTACTCTCTGTCTGTCTACCTCAGTTTGTTTACTCTCTGTCTGTCTACCTCAGTTTGTTTACTATATATCCATTCCCTTTTTCTTTTACTATTTCTCACTGATTAAAAAGACATATATATATATATATATATATATATGTATCTCAGTTTGTCTTCTCTGTTTACCTTTCTCAGTTTGTTTACTCTCTGTCTGTCTACCTCAGTTTGTTTTTGCTCTCTGTCTGTCTACCTCTCAGTTTTGTTTACTATATATCCATTCCCTTTTTTCTTTACTATTTCTCACTGATTAAAAGACATATATATATATATATATATATATATGTATCTCAGTTTGTCTTCTCTGTTTACCTTTCTCAGTTTGTTTACTCTCTGTCTGTCTACCTCAGTTTGTTTACTATATATCCATTCCCTTTTTCTTTTACTATTTCTCACTGATTAAAAAGACAATAGTTACGTAGACTGTGAATTTAAGCGCAGTACTAGATTGGCGGTAAGGTCTCACCATTTTACAGCTGAATTTTCAAGATGAAACCGTAAGTTCTATGTTAACAGTTTCTTTTTCCTCACTTCTCTTTTGTGGAAGTGTCTTCCGGCTTCTTGCTTTTCAGTCTAATTTGATATTCAAAAATCTAAATGGAATATCAATCGTTATATTTCGCCTTAATATTTGTTCTTTTATTTTTCTCGCTCCTTAATTATGTTTTTCTTCTATTATTTGACACTCAGTAAATCTCGCATTTGTTTTGTTACCTTTCTTGGGTGAAATGATTTTTTTAAAAAGTTGGAAACTCGTATTGCGCCAAACATTCAAACGGCTGCCTCGACAAACACGAACGCTTGCTCTGAATGCATCTACGTTACCCACGAATCAAGCTGAACGTAGCAGAAACACGTGTCATATATAAATAACAATAATTTCAGAAACGAGTGACGTAAATTGGGTTATTTACATTCGGACTAGTGTCTTTATATGTGTTGTTAATATCGCAACTTTTCGGTCGTTGTGTCCTCCGGTCTTCTTCAGGTTTCTGACAAATCGGATCACATTCAGGGAATTTCGAAAGGAATCCTTTATTTAATTTACGGGTTTAGATTGTTCTGTTTTCGCTGTCCATGTCTAAGGGTATCTCATTGTTTTATTTTTTTTTTAGGATTACTCAGTTACTACTCGCACTGTTTCCACTGACTCCGAGTCTGCATAACCCAGTCCCGATATTGAACTCCTGCCACCAAATTCATGAAACAATGTATTAATCTACTAGTCTATTAGCTAGAATGCTATCACAGAAACTTGGACAGGAATTATCGAAGCGGAACAGAGATTAATCGCAGATTTTTTTCTAGTTCAATGATTATTTTGAAATTACAAGCCACAAACGTTAGATCTTACTTACTATCAACATATTTTAATCAAAATAACTATTTAGTGTGATACAGGTCTACAAAGAAGGAACTTATTTTGACAATAAAGTAAATGACATCTGTCTATATTTCTGAGATGAGGTGTTATTTGTTGGATCAATCAGCCAACGCTTTTATCCACTGACCCAAACAGTTGTGAGTTCAATCCCCGCTACAACAGAGAGAACCGAATATTGCAGAGTTGAGTTATCAAGAGGAATTAACTAAAATTGAGATATCCAAAGGCATGCTACATGGAATTTAAACACTCTACCCCCGTGAACTAAATAAAGGGTTCAGTTCGAAATTCAAACAAATATCAGCTGAAGAAGTCCGCAGTGTACAACGACGAAACTTTGTGAATATGGCAATAAAGATGAGGACAGTCCAGATAATATAAATAGTATAACTACTCTTACAGTAGTGGAGTTGCTATTGAAAATTAAAACTGATTATACAAGCGAAATTTTCACAGGACAAGTTTCCTAACTAATACAGGCTCCGTTTTGAATCGATAAGTTATTTTTTTTTTATCTCACACAAGGATACATTAATACGACACCTAGGGAAAATTAAATGTTCTACAGCATCGTTTTCGACTTTTGTACCACTGTAAGCGCCTAGCCTTAGATGGCAACCAGTCAAGGAGAAAAACATTTTTGAATTCAAATTTTTTCACATAAAAATAAATACATTTTTTTGAAATTTCTGTCCTATAATAGCTGGAAAAAATTAATATATGAAATATGCATGCAGCTGTAGCAATATTCATTACAAATTTATATTCTCCAATTATTATATGGTTCTCATAAAAATGAATATTTCTAAGACTACTGAGAAATATTTTTATAACATTTGAAAAATTTAATTTTTTGTCACCTACTAAAGAAAAAAACTACTTATAAGCAAAAATAATATTTTAAAATCTTAATGGAATATATTTTCGTTTTATTGAAGTAATTTTTTTAAATTCATTATTGAAATAACTTCAGGAATGAAAAAATAAATCTGTCAAATACATAGCAAGTTGCAAACAATCATAACAAAAGCGTCGATGAATAAAAACTTTGACAGTATTTTTTTTAAACTAAGAATTTAAGGCATTGTTTAATAACTAGCTTTTCATTCACGTTTTGGTTTCCCTTTATTAACAAGATGGCAAGATATTTTTCAAATACATGTTTATAATCAAAATTTCAAAGACATTTTTCTCTGATGATAAACCAATATTATCTTTAATGCCTTGGTCAGGTTTTCTCGAAAATGTATATCTTTCTACATTACATCATACACACACACACACACACATATATATATATATATATATATATATATATATATATATATATATATATATATATATATATATATATATATAGCATTATGTGCATGGAAAAATAGTGCATTTTTACATATAAACACAAAGAATTTACGTATTTCTCTCTCTATATATATGTAGTTGTGTTAATGTGAGTTTGTGACCTAGGGTTTCACGCCTTTTGCCACTGCCAGACAAACTTTTCGTTTATTTGTCTGATCGCATAGGACGTGAACTCAGGGTCACAACTCACATCAACGTAACTAAATATCTTAGCTTTATCACTGATATTGAGCGCTTTCCAATAAGTACCACGCATATATAATATATAAATGATATATATATATATATATATATGCACATATTATATATGTATAATATATGCACATATATATAATTTCCAAAATGAGCAGGGACATTCTGGGCATGTTTGTAATTGATATTAATTTCTTATTTTTTGTTTTTATCTTTTTATAAATAATTATATTTACATCGATGTAGCCTTTTGTATCAATATAAATTTTAAAAAATTGAAAAAAGAATTGTCCTATAATAAGTTGTTACATTTACTATACGAAATATACCTACAAAAAACAACTATTAGAACAGATGTAGGAAATTCACTTTTTACAATCTACACTTATTACCTGGGTTCTATAAAATATCACACACACACATACATATATATATATATATATATATATATATATATATATATATATATATATATATATATATATATATATGTATATACGACGGAGAAGGTCTATTTTGTAATTTTCATATGTACTTGTTCTTGCATTTTTTCTTTCTTTTTTTTTTTTTTTTTTTTTTTGAGAAATGACTGTGTAGAAATTGTCCATCTTGTTTATTTTACCGAATAATATCGACTAAAAATTTAGCTGACAGTTTTCACTGTGTGTGTGGAGGTGGAGTAATTTTCCTGGTAATGAGCTTTGTTTATTTATTTTTTTTTTATTTGTGTTGTGTAATAGAGATTTTTTGTAGTCGTAATTTCATCCTTAGTGGAGTTTTTCCTTAGTTTTCGAAACAACTAAGGCTCCCTTCATGAAATTCTGTATTTTTGTTTTTATGATAACTGCTTCTAATATCGTCAAACAATATCTCATTATCATCTCATTATCTGCGTTGTCTACATGATGGGTAGGTATATTAAAATGTTTTTCTCTCTTTCATATATAATGACTAACATATATAAATAACCGAGCTATAATCCAGTCCACATGGCCTGAAGATTGCGTTCAAGTATGAAACAGGCTATCGACACTCGTTGTTGATATCAGTGTCCACACTTATATATACACACGCTCGATACAGAATATTAAACACTTTTACCCCATAAATCTAGCGTACCTTACAACTATATTTTACCATTTTATATATATATATATATATATATATATATATAATTGTGAATTTAGGCAGCAATCGCTCTTTTATACATTTTCGGTAAAAGCTTCTGACAGGTTATTGCGGTTAGGTTTTATTTAATTTTTCTTGTATTCTTATAAAAGAAAAAATGCTGACAATACAAGAAAGAATAAATAAACTTAATCGAAGTACTTGATTTTAACGAAACTTACACACATACACGTAAGTGTTGGTGTGGCATTTTTTAATATCCTGAATTTCTGCATAACTGCCAAAATATACATACCATATTAAGAATAAAAAATGTTCTGTAGGTTATCCTCTATTCGGTGTATTGACGCTACACACTCATCCAGATTATTTTTCTCCATTTGATCGTACAAAAGTGTAAGCTTTAGTAAACATCTCGACAAACAAAATACAGACAATTAAATAATATTTAAAAATTTTTTTTTCGTAATTTCATCGTGTGTAGACTGGAGGATATTGCGAGATTTTATGATCATTTTTTACGGAAAAATAAGCGGTTCACAATAAATACAAATAATTTTTTGAAGAGTTTAAAAATCATGCATTTTCTGTGACCGTTTGCACTATACACAGGTCAGTATATTTATTTATTTATTTATTTATTTTTTGAGGGGTTAAAATTCATTAAAAAAAAGTCAGGATTCGCACAGTACATTAAATCGTCTTATACTTGAGTGTATACGGTACATCTATCGATTTTTTATTTCTAATTAACCCATCGTAACCTCGAGATTTAACACTGAATATTCTGCATTAATTTAAAAACTGAAAATATTTTATTGCTTAATTATAAATATTATAATTTTATTTACTTAATAAAAAATAGTGCTGAAAAATTCTCGGCCCGACAATTTTCTCCAAATCAGTATTTCAATAATCAACCATGAGAATACTGATTTTAGAAGCGTGTTGGCGGCACGGTGCAGTAATTGATAGAGAAAACCATTACATACACTTACGTGCTAATACCCTTGGGAAAGGTATGAATCCTCTTCTTTAGCTATGGGTAAATAGCAGGACAGTCTGGATTCTATAGATTTGGATAGCAACTGGTCTACCGCAGAAAGAAATGACAACATACTGCGGGAAAATATCTGCCTCGTTAGTCATGTATCGAAAGAAACATGATCGCCTAAGAGTGTATCACGCATGGAACATAACTGATTGGTGGTTTGGACAGAGAATTCGTATTAATTCCTTGTGAAAACGTGCCCATCGCACAGAAGAAATGATTAGAATTTAAATAAAAGTAAAAATAAATAAATAAATAAATGACGTGCTGACCTCTCAAACATTTAAGGAAGAAATATCATTGTG